GCTGCGTCTGGGGGTGCTGAGCTTGCTGGTGCTGATTCTGGGGGTCCTGTGCCTGGTGGTGCTGCGTCTGCTGGAGGTCCTCAGAGCGCCTCGCCGCAGCGGTCTGGCCAGCGAGAGCCTCTCTCACCTCAGCAGCTGCGCGGCGCACTCGTCGTAGGAGTCGCGCCGCTGGAGCTGGAGGAGCTGCAGCTGGAGGTACTGGAGCCGGAGGTGCTGGAGCTGGTGGCACTGGAGCTGGTGACACTGGAGCTAGGGCCGCTGGACCTGGAGACGCAGGAGCTGGAGGCGCTGGCATGTGAGGCGCTGGAGGCGCTGGCACTGGAGATGCTTGAGCTGGAGGTGCTAGAGCTGGTGACGCTGGAGCTGGGGGCGCTGGATCTGCAGACGCTGCAGCTGGAGGTGCTGGAGCTGGAGACGATGCAGCTGGAGGTACTGGAGCTGGAGGCGCTGGAGCTGGAGCCGCTGGAGCTGGAGGCGCTGGAGTTGGAGGCGCTGGAGTTGGAGCCACTGGACCTGGAGACGCTGGAGCTGGAGGCGCTAGCACTAGAGGCGCTGGAGGCGCTAGAGCTGGTGACACTGGAGCTGGAGGTGCTGGAGTTGCTGACACTAGAGGTTTTGGAGCTGGAGGTACTGGTGCTGGGGTACTGAGGTTTTTCTTGTCGCCGCCGCAGCTGTCCGAGCTCCCGCCCGAGTCGGTGCTCCGTCAGGTTCTTAGTCTTCCTTCGTCCACTGCCCTTCCTCAGGACTCACCGCTGCCTGCCCCGCCTCGTTACACTGAGCAGCCAGCCTCCCTTATCAAGCGTCGTGAGCCTGCGTCTCGTCCTGCCTCCCCTGTTCGCACGGCTCGCCGTGCTCGTCGTGTCCCGCGTCCGCGTCCTCTCCCTGTGCCAGGCACTCACACTATGGCACTTCGTCCTTCCTCTGTCCCACAGCGCTTCCCGTTGCCGTCTCCTCCAGCGTCCTCTCTTCCTAACATTTCGAACCCTGAGTCTGACTTGGTTCGTGCTGCTAGTCCCACTGTCACGCGTCTCCTCGCTACTGTCGTTACTGACCCGTCGTTTGAGTCTACTGCTGCGTCTGCCTTAGTTGCTGAGCTTGTGGACTTTGCTGCTGCGTGTCGTCTAGACTACGCCACTAGTCTTGTTGCTGAGTCTGAGTCTGTCTGTCCTCTGTCCGTCGGGGGTGAGTGTGCTCTTAGCACGGACGTCCTTGAGGACAGGCAAGAGGACTTTGAGTGTCTTGCGGCTGCTGTACCTCATCTCGTGGCCATGTTGCTTGCACCTGAGGGAGACCCGGATGCACTGGACATCCTGACCCTGCACTCTTATGCAGAGGCGATTTTGGGTCCCTACTGGCAGATAGCCATGGACGCAGAGATGGCATCCTGGAAGTCCACAGGCACTTACGTCGACGCAGTTCCCCCTCCTGGGGCGAACATAGTCGATGGCATGTGGATTTTCAGGGTGAAGAGGCCGCCGGGTTCTCCGCCTGTCTTCAAGGCTCGTTACGTTGCACGAGGCTTCAGTCAGCGACAGGGAGTTGACTTCTTCCAGACCTTCTCCCCTACCCCAAAGATGACCACTCTTCGGGTGCTGCTGCACGTTGCAGCTCAGCGTGGCTACGAGCTTCACTCTCTTGACTTCAGCACAGCGTTCTTACAGGGCAGCCTGCACGAGGAGATCTGGCTGCGCCGCCTACCTGGCTTCACTGGGTCGTTTCCTGCAGGTACCTAGTGGAGCCTCCGGCGGCCAGTCTACGGTCTCCGCCACGCGCCTCGTGAGTGGCACGACACACTGAGGACGACACTTGCGGCTCTCGGGTTTGCTCCTTCGACTGCTGACCCGTCGCTGTTTTTGCGCACCGACACTTTGGTGCCGCCGTTCTACATCCTCGTGTACGTCAACGACTTGGTCTTTGCCACTGCTGACACTGAGGCACTGGCCCTTGTGAAGTCGGAGCTGTAGAAGAGACACACGTGCACAGACCTGAGTGAACTGCGCAGCTACCTTGGCTTGCAGATCACCCGGGACAGAGCACGCCGCACCATCACCCTGACTCAGTCACACATGGTGCAGCATGTCCTTCAGCGCTTCGGCTTCCAGTTCTCCTCACCACAGTCCACTCTTCCGCCTACTGGTCACTCGCTCTCAGCTCCACCTTCGGACGATTCCGTAGAGCCGAGTGGCCCATATCCAGAGCTTGTGGGCTGCCTCATGTACCTGATGACGTGCACGCGACCTGACCTTGCGTACCCTCTTAGCATCCTGGCTTGCTACGTTGCGCCTGGGAGACACCGGCGAGAGCACTGGGAGGCTGCTAAGAGGGTGCTGCGCTACTTGTGCAAAACGTCGGACATGGGGCTGGTGCTTGGAGGACGGGGTGACGTTGTCCTCACTGGACACTCAGACGCCTCTTGGGTTGACAACCTGGCTACACAGCGGTCGTCACAGGGTTACACGTTCAGCCTTGGCTCCGGCTCTGTTTCTTGGCGGTCTACCCGCTCGTCTTCTGTTCTCAGCTCGAGTTGTGAGGCTGAGATCTACGCAGGAGCCATGGCTGCACATGAGTTACGCTGGCTCACCTACCTGCTGATTGACTTGGGAGAGCAGCCTAGTTCTCCTCCAGTTCTGTACGTTGACAACAAGGCCGCCATTGCCTTGTGTCAGGAGCACAGACTGGAGCACAGAATGAAGCACATCGCTCTGCGTTACTTCCTTGCTCGAGAGTTGCAGCAGCGTGGCCAGCTTCGTCTTGCTTATGTGGCCACTCGGGCCAACACTGCTGATATCTTCACCAAGGCACTTCCGCCTGGTGATCATCAGCGTCTGTGTACTGCTTTGGGCCTCGTACCTATGTTTGCTCACTTGCTCACTGCGTGACCTTGCTTGTACTGTGATCTATATGTATACCTGCATGCTTACACTTGCTAGGTTGTGATCATTGTACTGTTTGCTCTGCATGTGAACTAGCCTTGTGGCCATTTGCTTGTGCTCGAGTGTGTGGTGAATTCGTAGTCCACCCTGAGCTTGCTTTGCTATTATTGACTGGTCTTGTGACCATTAGTTCTCCCTCACTTTGCCTATGGGGGTGAGTTAAACTAAAATGTTGATTGTAGGCTGTAGTGGGGTAGCTTACATGGGGTACAACACATTCTAGGGTTTCTATTTGTATCCAACCTGTTTCTAGCCATTCTCATTCCTACTAGTTTCTAACAAAAACTCTTCTGAAACCCCAGATGAAACCCTCGTACAGTGGCGAAAGACCACGGACCTAATCGGATATTCATCTTAACCGATACGAGTACGCATAGATGGATTACCAAAGTTTTGCAGCTAAGCTGCCCTAAACAGTACACCCATCTCAACCGAGACATTTAGCCCTAGAAATCCCCAAAATGTTTTCATTTTTGCCCGAAACCTGTTCTTGTATAGTTGGTAGTAGGTTTATGGGAATGGGGGGGGGGGGGGGGGGGGGGGGGGGGGGGGGGGGGGTTTGCCCGTGTTCACTGTACAACAGTTGCAGACGCACTGTGTCATGGGAGAGAAATGGGAGGAACCAAGCTCGGAAATCCTCGAGCATCCCAAGGTGGTACAGTCTCAATTGCGTGGACGTTGCCATGCGATTTTCCCCTCCCGAGCCTTGTTTTAAGCCAATCCCTCCCATTCCCGTTCCCGTTCCCGTTGGCTATCGAACAAGGCCTCTGTCTCATAGGCAACTTAGGACGTGTCTCATGTGAAGGGTCCGCTGGATCTGGTCCGCAACCAGAATTTATACGCCTGGTACGGGGTTCTGGTCCGACGGACTCACTTGGCGGACCAGAGTTGGACCAGACACGGACTAGTCTGCCTGATTCGTCGAGTCTCGGGCTGCACAGTATTTGCGAGTTGTAGCAGTAGCGACGAAATCGAGACGAAGTTACCTTTTTTATTTCGTCTGGACAAAAATTTCGCGCGAAACTTACAAAACAAGAAATTTCGCAAAACAATGTTGACCACAAACTGTTTCCGGACCAAGCGCGGACTGGCCTGGAGGACAAAAAAAAATGGCACCGTTTTAGTGCCATTCGAATGGTATAACGGGGTTACAAGCCCCGCATCCTAGTCCCGGTCAGGCCTGTTGAAGTTTTTGGGACCAGCACTTCGAGTCCTGAGCTGCTCGAATTTTGGCCCTGATTTTCGCTAAGGTGACCAATTTTTAGCCCTTAACGATCACGGGCGCAGATCAAATTCAAAACTTGAAATCAGGGCTTCCTAATAAAATGTACGTTAGCCTTATTGTCACAAAGGCGGATGTCAACCTATTGCTTAGCAACGGAAGGAGCCTGCTCACGACTCACCTGCATACCTACAACAAGGGGGGAAGTTGGGTGGGGGAGGGGAGGGGGGGGGGGGGGGGGATCGTAGGGCAAAACATCGTAAAGAAAGAAGTCGTTTAAATTCGTATGTACAATTGCAAAGCACTTCCGAGGTGGTTCTTTTTCTCATGGAGTACTACTAGTGTAAACTGATGGGGCTGAGTTCCTCTTCGCCATGTAAGGGTGTCAGTATCGCGAGTCCAGTGTGAGTACTTAGAACTGTGAGGCAGCGTATGGACTGTCTTGAAAAAAAAATATTTGCAGCTACAGCCATAACATTAACACTGAACTCACCCTCGAGCTCCCCGCCATGGCTGTCTGCCAGTTGCCTGGAACTCACATTGCGTGAAGCTTGTTCATCTGTTGGCTTTAATTTTACCGGCTATGAACTCGTTACACCTTTACGAAGAATATATATTTTATGTGTTCATCATGAGAACATTACATGGTCTTCTCAAGGGTGTCTTCTGCTGGTTCAAGAATCAAGGTTCACAGCTGACGCGTCGTTCCCTAGGTCTCAGCCTACTATCAAGGAGTTATCTAAGTTGCTGTGCTCAGACGACCGGCTGTGCTTAGACGACCGGCTCATCAGTTTCGTCAGCTCTTTCTCCCAGAGCTTCTACCGGGTCCTTGTCATCATCACACGATGCCTCCAAAATCGTCGCGTGCTAAGCCTGTGGTTGATGCTCCGGCTGGTGGTGGGGATCCTGCAAGCAAATCGTCACCAGGCAAGGGCAAGGATGTCATTGATATTCTTCCGTCTGAAGCGGAAGTGACGACTGGCGGTTCTGGTCTCACCATTGAAGAAAAGCCGAAGGCGCTTGCGTCGGTTTCTTTGGATGACACCTTCGTTGAAGATGACTCTGATGAGGAGCTTGAGATCGACACGGCTAAGAGTTCTTACCCGCATTTGCGCTTCACGGCGATCCTGCTCTTCCCGGTCACTCCCTCTCGTGAGGTTGCTTCGGTGATTCTGACGGTGCGGATGTTGATGAAGCGCGTTTGGGCTAACCTGCTTACTGACGATGTGCTCAATTCGGTGAAGTTCCAGGAGCTGCTCCCTGCTTTTGTTGCGAAGACACGCTACAGCCGGCTTTAGGTTTCCTTCCTGCATGAATCTGACGCGGTTAAGATCAAGCAGACGGCAGTGAAACACAAGCGTTCGAACGGCTCGACGCTTCACTGTTTCTGGCTGCATCAAGAAGACGCGGCTTAACTTCGCAAGAAGGCTTCGAGCCCCCGCTGACATCCCACTGACGGTAGTGAAACACAAGCGTTCGAACGGCTCGACGCTTCACTGTTTCTGGCTGCATCAAGAAGACGCGGCTTAACTTCGCAAGAAGGCTTCGAGCCCCCGCTGACATCCCACTGACGGTAGTGAAACACAAGCGTTCGAACGGCTCGACGCTTCACTGTTTCTGGCTGCATCAAGAAGACGCGGCTTAACTTCGCAAGAAGGCTTCGAGCCCCCGCTGACGCTTAACTGCTGGAGGTTTACTTCAAGAACGTCCCGCTACATCCCGTAGCTGGTTAAGGAAGTCATGGTGTCACACCCACTCAGGATTCGGAACCAGTCTGCGTTTGCCGAGGGTCACTGCTTCCACCGTGTTCTTCACCCGGTCACCGGTGCCGACACTGATAAGATCAAGGGGTTGGTGGTTCAGCACGCTGGCGACAAGCACCGCTGGCGCCATGAGTTCCGCCATCAGCTGCTGAGAGGAACGACCCTGTTGGCCCATTTCCCACTGCTTACCTGTCCGCTCTGTGGTGGTCATCATTATGACAAGTTTCATAATGCTTACATCACGGAGCGTCAAAGTAACATAGGGAAGTGGAGTTTAACAGTGGGTCGGGTGCATAGGATCAATGGTAACTGCCGCTTACATTTTTCGGGTTGTTGTTTTTTCTCTCTTGCCCTGCAAGTTGCTGACGCGATGCCTGTCCCTCGCAGCTGCTTCTCTCCGCGCTTCCCCGCTCACCACCCCGCTGCTGCTGGATGTGGCTTTCGTGCTGATCTCCACAGGGAGCAACCGGGAGGAACGGTTGTGTACCCTCGAATGCTGCGGGAAGGCTCATGGCAAGTCTTTCATGGCAGCGGCGGATCATATCACATCAGCGAGTCATCTCCTGGGCCTGGAGAAGTTAGGAGCAGCCACCCGCAGCTCCCTGGAGAAGCTCTACCTGCATGTCATCCGCAAGGAGTACCAGATTTGAGCATCTCACCTGCATGCTGGAAGCGGTGTGGGGTTTTGACGGCGGTTTCTGTTGTTGACGTAGTAGTAGCCTGTAGCACCTGCCCGTGGATGCGATGGGGCCTATCAGCAGTGGTTAAATGAGTACGAAAAGCCTTCTTTCATTTGCAGGCCTGAATGTCAATGGCCTGGGGGATGGGAACAAGCAACAACGTACAAGGAACTGGTTAAAACAAGCAGCAGACATTGTAGTGCTTTTAGATGCCAGACTTGCTATCGATCACCTGTACTGGGACTCTTTGAGACAACCGCAGATCCTGGTGGCCTCGCCTACCGCCAAAGCTGGTGGGGTGGCCCTGGTCTGCCAAAGGCACGGGCTGTCGCTGCACAACACACTTATTCACCCGTCAGGGAGACTGATAGCGGCTGGCATCCGCTGTGACACCTTTCTTATCACCGTGGTCGCAGTATACTTCCCAGCGGATGCTGCAGAGAGGAAGACCTTCATTCGCAGGGTGCTAGGCCCGGTGATTGACTCGTTACAGCCTGGTGGTCACCTGCTCATGCTGGGGGATTTCAACCTGGTGGAGGACCCTCTGCTCGAGCCCTTTTTTTATGTCGGGGCTTTCCATCTGTCGGACACGTTTTGGACTCTGCATCCTTACAAGAGAGAGTTTACCTTCTACTCCTGCGCCAACCATTCAAGCTCTCGCATTGGCCGAGTACTTATCTCGCAGTCGTTGCTGCCGCATGTGGAGTTCGCCTCGCACATCATGCCGGCGGACCCTATTTCGTATCACAGCTTCGTGGTGAAGGTGGCGTTCAGGATGATCACGCGGGTTCAGTTGGGTCCATGCCTCTGGCGGCTACCTGCATACATGGTGGAGAGGTCGGGGGTCAGGAAAGTTATCGAGGCGGTGGAACGGCAGGCGGCGGCCTGCGGTGTTGATTTCAAGTTGCTGATATCGCGTCTCAATGCTGGTCTTAGAGCGTACGCAACGGAGGAGGGGAAAATGATCGGTGCTACTATGGCTCACCTTCAGCGGGAAGTTGCGGTTCTGAAGCAGGCATGGTTGGGTGACCCGGGCTGCGCCCGTCTGAAGGAGCTTCTGGCGGAAAGGGAGTCACAACTCAAAGGGTATCAGCTGGTGCGATAGGAGCGTCTGCACGTGATGGCGGGAATGAAAGAAGAAGTGGCTGGTGAGGTTGCCTCCCCTTTCCTGTCTGCAAAAATCAAGGCACGGAAGGAGCGGACACAGATTTCGGAGTTAGACGTCGGAAGGAAGCTAGTTGCTGACAACAAAGAAATTTTGTGCGCGGCGGCGCAATACTACAGAGATCTCTTCGGGGAGGACAGGCGGCGAACTGAGTCTGCTTGGTTCCCAGCCGTGGGTAGGAAGCTGTCGCAAGCATCAATGGAAGTTGTGTCCGCTGATTGGACGGAGAAGGAGGTGAAGAGCGCCTTCTGCTCGATGGCGAAAGGCAAGGCCCCGGGGAAGGACGGTTTGCCGAAAGAGCTTTTCGAAGTGCACTGGGACGTTCTGGGCAAACACTTCATGAAGCTGGTGGAGGGCTTCGCCACGTCGGCATCACTCCCAACCAGCACAAAGGACGCCGTCACTATCCTGCTGCACAAGAAGGGGGGGCGCGATCAGTTAGAGAACTACCGGCCGATTACGCTGCTGAGCTTTACCTACAAGGTTCTGGCGCGGGTGATTGCGGACAGAATGAAAAAAGTGCTGCATGAAGTGATCTCTCCGGAGCAGTATGGCTTCATACCGGGGCGAAGGTTGTCGGATGCTGTGGGCCTGGTCACAGATGTCATTGAGGCGGCTAAAAATGAAGACAAGGATTGGTATCTTCTGCTGGTGGACTTCAGGAAGGCCTTCGACTCGGTCTCGAGGGGTTTTCTCTTCACGGTGCTGGAGAGAACGGGCTTCCCTGAAAGATTCATAAGTTGGGTGCGTGGCCTGCACGAGGATACACGAACGAGTTTGTTAATAAATGGCTGGATGGGCGAGGCGGTGGAAGTGGTATCGGGCGTGCGTCAGGGCTGTCCGCTGGCGCCATACCTTTTCCTCTGCGCGGTCGAGCCGTTGGCGCAAGAAGCTGCGAACCGAAAGCTGGGTCTCACTGGGGGGGATAAGCGGCTGGCGTATATGGGTTACGCGGATGACATGACCCTGTTCCTGTAGGGGGAGGAGCAGATCGCGGAAGCGGAGAGGCTGCTAGAAGCTTTTGAAGCAGACTCTGGCCTGGCTACGAACAAAGGGAAGTCATCAATCTTACCGCTGGGGAAGAACCTGGACAAGCAGCCCTGCAGGTTTGACGGTTTCAAATGGGTGAAGTCGGGCGAAGCCGAGCGACTGCTGGGGATGTGGGTGACGCCAGACGGGTGTTGCGCCCCCACCTGGGAAAAAGCTTTCGCACGGATAAAAGAGAAACTGAGGCAGTGGGAGGCGCAACATCTCACAACAGGGGCAAGGGCGGCGGTGATCAACTGCTACATTTCCCCTATTATTTTCTTCCAGGCGCAAGTGTATCCACCGCCAATGGTCATCTGGGGGAGGATTCTGAAGCTGACGCACAACTTCATGTCGGGAAATCGGGCCACAACAGACAAGGGATTTATTCTGTGGAGTCACGAGCTGCTGTACATGGCGAGAGAGGATGGGGGCGTGGGGGTGAGGGATCCGGAAATCGCGCTAACCTGCCTCACGACAAGAAGGATCGGCCTGCTTCTCACCAAAACGAACGAGCTGAAGAAGGAAATAATGTTGCAAGCAGCAGACCTGCCACTGGGGACGGACACTTTTGTGCCCCACGTGAAACTCCTGAAGTGCTGGCGCAGGAAAAGCGAGAGGTGGAAGCTGGCCTGCGGTGATTTCATGCAATCGTCGTTAGCGGAAACGCCACCGGAACGGACGAGGGGAGAAGCAGAGCTGGAGCGTCTAGTCTTTAACCGACATATCCTGCTGAAAGGCAAGACCCCGGTGGGCGGGCAGAAAGCTGCGGCGAAGCTGTGGGATTTTCGCTTGAAGGACCTGGTGGCCTCGCACGGCGAGGGAGGGCGCAGGGTAAAGGGTGTAAAGACCTTAACGAGGGAGTTAGGCGGCTCGAAGCAGGCGAAATTAGCACTTCGTGCCTGGGAAGCTGTGCCGCAGAGTTGGAAAGAGCTACTTCTGTCTGCCGAGCTTCTGCAGCCTCCCCAGCCTCCGCCACGACCCCTTCCTCAGAGAACCCCGCTGTATAGCAACACGCAGTTGGCGTCGTTGAGGGAGCTGAAGGGGAGCTGGGATCGTGACAAACATCAATCTGCCAAGAGAGATCTTTGGGCAGACAGATGGGCAGGGGAAATCGACTGGAAGAAGGTGATTAAGATCCGGGACTCCCTGGCGACGCCTAACAGGCCACGGGATGTGCTGCTGACAATACACAGTCTCAACCTTCAGGT